GCAGCAAATGCTGGAGAGGCTGCCTGGCTTGGGAGCAGCCCCGAAAGGAAGAGGAGGGTCGGTCAGTACTTGGAAGGCGAGAGCGGGCTGGAGAGCAGGCTGTGAGTTGTGCGCAAGGGAAGGAGGGCTGCTGCGTTTCCCTTCGTAGCTCATTTGTCTTTGCAGCTTCTCTGAGTTGTCATCTTATTCCTAATAAAAAAGAAAATGCACAGGATCAGTTATTAATTTCAGTCCCTCTTATATGTTGGTACTTGTAGTCACAAAGCATGAAATTCAGAAGGGAGCAGTGTCTGTCGCTTTCTTTTCATAGAAAGATCCTTTCTTTCCTATGAAGAAAGAAAAGTAAATATCATTAAAGAGTTATATGCAAATAAAGCTGGTATGAAAATAAACCTGGCTTTGTAAATGCAAATGGATCACACTTTTGGTGAATGTAGTTAACATCTTAATTAAATAGGCATAAGCCAGCACTTTCAGTGTGATTTCACTGTCAGAATTTAGCTTGCTGGATTTTACTGAGAAGACCTATCATAACTTTTGGCTTTTTCTTCTTACAATACATTAATTAAGCATTATTCTTTTGTTGTTGTTGTTCTGTTGTTCAGATTCACATTCAGAAAAATGCATGAACATATTGATTCTGGTATTCTGTATTGATCTGTGCTCCTTTAAAAAAGACTAGTTACATATAGCCTCACTCTATCAGAGTCACTTTTGTATCCACAGCCTCTTTTCCCCCCCGCCCCCCCTCTGTGGAAGTAGTGTATGGGGAATGTAGAATAAAATTGTGTAACCCTGTTTTACAGTTCTGGTGTTATCCAGAATGTTAATCAAGCTATTTTCACTTAGCTCTTTGGAAGTAAATGAGAGTGGTCAGCATTAGATGTTGTAATTTATTTCTAAAGAGTAAATGTTAGGAATTATTTAGTATATTAAAACTTTTGATCAAGTAAAACTTCGGTACTTTTTTTTTCTTTCAGTTAAAGTGCAAGTTTGACTCGCTTTATTTCTTAATACAGGTGTTTTATGTCAATCCAGATAAAGCTGCTCAGCGGCACTAAAAACTCTTAGTAGTTGGAAAAGACAGCACATGCTTGATTTGTTGTTGTTGTTTCTAAATATTTGGAATGTTGATTTAGTCAGCGCAAGATCTTGTAGCAAATGTTATTGAGCCCATGGTCATGAAGTGCAAAGAAATCCAGATTTGATCATGAGGTGATTTATTTTAAAAGGTTGTGGCAGACTCGCTTCTCGAGCAGACATGTGAACATGAAATTATTCCCCCCACCTCACAGGATCAGTGCTCTTGGACTATAAATAGCTTGCTATAGATAGAGTTTATGTTATATTTCCTGATTACACGTTATATAATGTTGAGTTTTGGCGTTATGGTGTTGTCAAGACTTCAATTTGTTTAATCTATTTCCTTTCCTACTTCCTGTGCTCTTAGCATTTACCTAAAGAGCAGACACATGCTCTACCCTACCTTTTTTATTTCTGGTAACAATTGAAGTTAACAGTAACTTCTTAAACAAAGCTTTGATCTACTAAATTGTCATTAATTAAAAGATATGGTAATGTATTTGGAAATGCTATGTTTAGTTTGTCATCTATATTGTACAGTGGGAGAACAGTTAAGTATTAATGTTAATAGCTATTAACCATTACAGTGAGTGTGCAAAGTTACTAATTTACAACATATTTAAGTGCAAGAAATTAGTGATCCTGCTGCTTCAAAGTAGAGTAGTTATGATATTGCTATGCAACTTTATGCATTTCATTTGAAGTAATAACTTTATCTTTTTTTCTACAGGCAGAGTACAACATTTCAAAATGCTGGAGATTATCTATGTGAACACAGAGATTACAGTTAATGTGATTGTTTCTTCAAAAATTCTGCTCCTGCATTTCATGAGATAAAATATTTTACAAAAATGAAAGGTTGGAGATCAGTGAAGGTATCAGTTAACCATGTTCTGTGAATCTGGAGAAGAATTTCTGGAGGAAGAATAGATTCATCGAATCCCTGGACTTTTTTTTTTTTTAATTTTAGAAGGATATCTACATGTAGATGAGCATGATTACAAGATATGGTGAAAGAGGATATTTCTAATGAGCTACCAATACTTGTTTCCATTTGATTTTTTTTTTTAATAGAAATGAAGGACCAGTATGAAAAAGCAGAGCTGTTTTATTTTTCTGGGGCCTTTATGTAAGCCTCTACTGTCTGGATCTGGTGCTAGAGGAAGGGCAATCTGCTTCTGATCAGCTGATTATAACTGTAGAGAGAGAACCTTTAATTTAAAGTAACTTACAGATGAAACTGTTTTGCTCCTTGGCTTGCACAGAATGAAAGGGAAAATTAATTTGTTTTACTGGTCAGGGGTCTTTTGTTGAATTAAGAAAGGGAAAATTAGATTATTCTTTTCTATTATTTTATTTTTCCCCTCTCTGTTTCAAACCAAGAACTGACAAAACATTTTTGATAGAATTTGACTACTAGGGGACCTCAGCATTCAAAACAAGGCAGATGTCAGCGAACGACTCTTCTCCTCCATCCGTACAGAAGTTTTCCCCGCCTGTATATCATGCTGCTGCACCGCAAACCCCAAGTTTATCTTCAAGCCCCCAGTCGGGGCTCTCCAGTCGACTTTCCAATGGGAGTTTCAGCACACAGAGCCTCACCAACTCCAGGGGCTCTATGCACGGGGTCTCCTTCCTTCTGCAGATCGGTCTCACTCGAGAGACTGTCACCATTGAAGCTCAGGACTTGTCTCTCTCTGCTGTGAAAGACCTCGTGTGCTCTATAGTTTACCAGAAGGTATGATATGACGGTTAACACATTCTGCTCTTCGTAGTTGTTTTGTGATAAACTGACAGCAATAACAGCATGTAACTGGAAGATGCCAAGAACTTTGATACAAAGATAGGCCTGTTAGAAGTTTCCAAAGTTTAAATAGGGAATTTGCCAACTCCCAAGGTGGGAGCTTTTAATTTAAAAGGAGTAAAACCTCCTGTTAAAATCTGTCTTGTGAACTCTAATAAAATAAGATGCAATAATAAACTTCCTGCAAGAATTAATTTTAACAGTATGGAATGTATTTGGGTTTTTTCCTGTCCTTTCTGTGATTGTCACCTCTGCCTGCTTTTACTGGTTTGTACTCGCTACTGCTTTAAAGGAATAGTCTTGGTAGAGTGTAGCCAACTGTAATCAGAATACTAATTGTGGTCAGAGAAATGCTCTGTAGCCTAAAGACTTGCATGGTCCTGGCTTTTTTTTTCTTTTCTTTTGTTTTTCTAGGCACTAATTGAAAAATAAAACACCAAGTGTTTTCTTAAAATTGCTTTTCCATGTAAGAAATCTGAGATACTCTTTTGAGAGGACTGTTATCAGCATACCTATAGTATCTATTCATAGACAGTTGGCCAAGTGGATAAAAATGGTAACTAACTCTTCAAATGTCTCTTGATAAGCTGCTGCAAAGTTCTGGTTGTATGACAAGAAGGTAACATTCATCTTGCTGTTTTTATATGCCTGCTTTTTAGGCTAGATGCTACTGACCAAATGGGAAATTAATTGTTTCATATAAATAATTAAGAAGAAGTAATTGCTCTTTTTGCATTACTTTGTAGGGAATTAAATTGCTTTCTTCTTATCTTTCATTTTTGAATGGTATTTATAGTTGAGTAGTTTGATCCTTTTCCCTTAATGCCTTGAGAGAAAATCAAGGTAAACGTAAGAATTTTCATCTGTGTATGCTTTTGTGCGTTTCCCCCCTTCTCACATCTTGCATCTTTCTTTCATGTTTTTAGAAATTAATCAGCAAGCAAACTGATTTCATAATGACTTGTTGGGCCACTAAAGTATGATTCTTAAGAGACAAATTATGTGGATCAATTTTTTTTTTGTACTACACAGTTTAGATGCACTTTTTGCAGACTTTTAGGGCCTGCTTTTTCTTTCTGCATCAGTTGTCTCTTTGCATCTGCATATTTCCTGTCTTCTGTCTTGAAGAAAGATGAAACAAATAAAATCACGTTTGTTTTTGTTTTTTCCTGTCTTCTTGGCCGTCTCAGATAAAGTTGAGCTCAAGTTCAGAAACTTGTTATACACTTAGTCTAATCTACCGTAAAAATTATTAGGATTCAGGATCCCTGTTTTCCAATTTCCATCTGGCTTTGGTTCAGTTTACGCTCTCCAGTAGCTGATGCTACTGCTGGTAGATGGGTGCTCAGTAAGAGCATGTTTGTGGACAGCAAATGATCAGGAAATGTGTGTTGGGGAAAAACCTTATATGGCGGACTCAACTTTCATAAGTAGTTTTGCAGCCAGTGTGAAAGTAGCAATATCCTCCCTTTACCCTCTATCTGACAGTACGTCCTGTCTGGATTTTGTTCTTAGCTCAGATGACTGTTGCAAGCACGTGAAGTATTCTTGTATTAATGTAATCTTTCTGTATGTATTTATTTAACACTTGTAACTGTTTTACTGTGTACTGTCATGCATATGGCTGCTTGTTTTTTCCAGTTGAAAGCTTTGAAGGTGTTGGGTTTGCCTGTGGAATTCGGCAGTGTTACCGCTTCCTCTTCCTCTGGCACACACAGCTGGCTCAAGCTGTCTTTTCTTGGCCAGCTCACGGCTCCCAACTTTTGGATAATACCTAGTTTGTTCTTGTGATAACTGGGCAGTTCATAGTGCGTATTTACTTTTGGACTTCCTTTTCCTAATGAAAAAGGAGGCGAAATATCTTTTACATGGAGCTATTCATAACTTTTGTTCTTATTTTAATGGTGTTCTACAAAGGTTAAATGGTAGTTTTCTTACTTCGTAATGTTTTTGGGTTATGTTTCAGTCTCATTGCATTTCTCTACACAGCTGCACTAAAAATACTGTGAGAGAGATCTTGCCTGTTATCATTTTGTTGGGAGCTTGGGTTGCCTGCCTAAATATTTGTAGCAGAAGACTACAATTATGGTATCAGAAATGTTGATTATAATTAAGTAGATCTTGAAGAAAGTTGGATTTAGCCTTATTTTTTTTTTTAAATAACTATCGCATCCTCAGAAGCTCTAGACAAAATGAGTTAATTTTTTTTCCTTAGGGAAAATTGATTTACTGGATGAAAAAGTCCCCCCAAAATGTATGGGAGTTTCAGTTAGAAAAAACAATGTCCTTGACTAATGCATTTGCATAGCCCTTTCTGTACTGCCAGGATTGCTATATTGTTGATGGTCAGCTGTGCTTCCTGTTTCAGAAGCTGCTCTGAGTGTAGCTCAGTCAGGTTTTTGCAGAAGGGTCTGTAAAAGTAGCCTCGGGAGAACTGAAACTAAGAGGCAATAGATGTGCCTCTGTAAGGAGAAGGAGATGAGTAATACCAGTATTCGGCATGTCTCTCAGCTCTGTTCAAAGCTCCCTTAAAGCTTTTATTAAAAGTATTACTATTATAATACAAAAAAAATATTATTATTATTAAAGTTTAAGGTTAAGTTCAGGGAATGGGCATTCTGCATCGAAATGCTTAGTGGAAGTTTTCAGAAATTCAGAATGTTTCAAAAGATTCTTAATTCCAGTCTCAAATATATCTTCTTTTTTTTTATTCCTTATCTAGATTGCTGGATATTAAAGTAATAGACATAAAATTTTTACAGTCCAAAGAGGAACTAAAGCATGAGCAAATCATATTTCTAGAACAGAGTGAGTGAATGTGTTTGGGAACAGATCAATGTGTAGTGTAACTGACAGGTGGGCAGCATGTGTCTTTGCACAGTGATCAGCTATTACAGAGGCAAATTATTAATCCTGTTTTGTGTTTAGAAACTCTGCTTGATGTTTTCTAATATCAGGAATAGAGTATGGGGTTTAATAGTTAAAAACTGTAAACTTGAATACAGTAGTTCCAGTGTGTGTAAACTGAGAGCAATGCATACGATAAATGCCTGATTAGTCTAGACTTTTTTTTTTTAATCCTAGTTAAAGTAATAGCTGTGAATAGAGGAAAAAAAAAATCATTGTTTTGAGCTATTACTTGCATAGCGTTAGAATCTGGAACATTTTTCTTGGTAACCTTTTACTTAAACCCTTCCTGCATCTTTCATGATCTTGAAGTGACTGTTATCTACCTTTCATCTGCAAACCTTTCTTTCCTCCCTTCTCATTTTCAGTCATTTTCAGTTTAGTCCTTCTTTATGCGCTTTTCTTTAAATGGCTTTGCTCTGAGGCAGGAAATTTCTCTATCTTTGGATGTCTGTGTGAAAATTTTTATTAGCCTTTCTAACTGTTGCCTTTTATTTAACCTAAGTGCTGATATATTACTTACTTATACAGTCTGTTTATTAGTTTCCCAGACTGTTTCTTCTAACCATCCTAAGGGCCACCATTTAGCAAAATCGGAGGCATTTCTTAAGTCATATTGGGCAATACACCTCTCAGATTTTTCATCTCTTGTCCTAAGACTGTGCTCTCGTAAGTCATAAGTCTTAAAGAAAGAAAAAAGAAAGTCTTCCTCTTTCTCGGCCCTCACCTATTCTAGTCATGTCTGCTACACTTGTTTCTTGTTTATTTCTTGTTGTCTTATCTAATTTGATCCAGCCTTGTACCTTTTGTGTTTTGTTTTGGATCTCACCTTCCTTGTTTTGCTTCCAAAAATAATTTATTGTCTTCCTTTGACTACCTATTTCATGTCTGTTCACAAACCATTTCCACCAAAAAGGTTTATAATTCTATATTTCTCAACTTACTCTGCCATGTATGGGATGTTTTTTCACTTTTTTCTTTGTTGCATTCTCAGAATTTGCTTGTTCATGTGTAGGGTTGGACCCCACGCCTAGCACCTGTCGCTTGTCTTTATTCCTGTAACTTTTGTGTGTTTGGTGCTAGGAAAGGCAGAGACATTTTTGTCATCTTTTTTTCTCCGTTCCAAAGTGATCACTGCTCTTTTAATTAACCTTGTAATTGTCAGTAGCAGTTCTGTGATTATATTTAACATCGTGTTTATTTAAATTGCTCCCTATGCTTCTCTTTTTTTTTTTTTTTTTTAACTTACATTTGACTGTTCTTCCCATGCTGTTTTTTAGTCATCTTTTACGTGCAGTCTTCCTATTCTCATTTGTTTACCTTAAAACTTAAATTAATTTCTTATTAATTTTCTCCATTTTTTTTGAAACTTTATGCTGTTTTGACTTGCTTTCAGGCCTTAATCTGTTAATAACCACCTTAGTAAATAGTTAACCTGGAGTTTCTCTAGTTTTCTACTTTTATTGCTTTTACCAACTTTGTAATCCTGGTACGTTATATTCTGTGGTCAATAATTGGAATAATATGAATGGAATATGATCCCATCAGTACATATGCACTTGTTTTGATAGCCTCAGGTATCATTTTAATGAGACCAGGTGGGATTTTGTTTTTGATAGCTGTACTGTGACTGAAGTCCTTGGAATGCTGCAAAATTAGCCAGTTTTCTTTGAAGATAAAGTAGACTTTTGGGCTGAAATTTGAGGAGATATGTCCCAACGTTTTGCTTTGACAATTAGGGGGAAAAAAAATGAGCATAACTTGAGAAATGCACAACCATTTGTAGAATTTTCTAACTATATGTCAATTATCAATTGACTGTATGTTTATATTATTTTGTGTCTATAAGAACTGCAGTTTTAAAGGAGATGAATTGCCATAATTTAAGTTGCTGATTATTCTTTGACCGCTGATGAGGAGAGGAGGAGAAAAAAAGTGTGTGTTTTAAAATTATTTTGAAAATAATTTAAATTATGTTTATATCAAAAAAGAAAAAAAGAAGAATATAAGTTGTGTCCTGAAGTTTG